TAAGGGCATGCTGACACATGCCAAAGTCAGTGATATGCAGACCATGTATGTAACATGAAATGCTATACTGAATGCCAGTCTACTCTTCTGATTTAAGTCAAGAAAGTTTCCTCTTTAAGTTCATTGTCCATGAGTTGCAAAATTGGGTATTGGGGAAAAAAAATGTTATGTTAATACTGGTTTAGGCCATTACCTAGTCCATAAAACATTTGTTTAACTTTCCCTTGCTTAAGACATATTGTGAAGTCACAATATAGCCAAAACGTACCCTTAAAGGTTAGGTTCCCACATAAATCAAAGAGAGCTTTACATGAACGTATAAGAATTATGCTTCTGGAGAAACGATGGATGTTAATCAGTGAACAATATTAAGGATTCTTTAGGCTTGCGCATCTACCCTCCCATTTCAATTAAAAAAAGAAATTCATCCTGAAAAATATAAGCATGTGTCTAAAAACATTGGAATACAACATGCTTCAGGAAAAATAACTGTTCTGGCAATGATTCATATGCATCTTGCAGAGGTGCACATTTTGATAAATGTATCGAAGAGATTTTTAGTCACTTTTATATATATGTTAAGAAATGCATGTTATGATCTTGTAAATAGTTTAAATAATGAGACTGAAATGACTAAATGGGAATTTTATTTTCATGGCATTCCCACTGTGATGTCAAATGCATCTAGTCAATCCTCTATATGAATTGTTACAATATCTTAAAACAAAAGTCTTCCATATTTTTGTTGTCACCATGATCATAAAAGTCCCTGGTTATTATTTATGGACACTACTGGAGTTTGCAGACTGAATTCCAGGAAATGGACTGAATGGAAAACCCTAATTTTATCTAGCACCATCAGTGTTCAGTGGACTCTTAAGGACTCGTGGTCTCACTGGAAGACTCTCAAAATCACTTTCCTTGAGCATCAGGGCAGCCATCCATACTTTTAATAATAATAGAAATGGAAAGAATATATATTTTAAATTGTTTGAGGTTTTTGAAAAACAATGTTTTCAAAATTATTTTTAAAAAATTTTTAATTGTAACTTGGAACAAAATGGTTACGCTTGTGGAAGAGGAAGGCCCTGTATTCTGTGGGGTTTCAGGTTTGGGAGTGCTTGTTTACAAGGAGGAAGTAAGAAGAGGGATAGAGAGAAGCTTGACGTGTCCATTTGCCTTCTCTTCTCCTCCTTGTGTATCTTACCTCTCTGCAGCATCAGTCTGCCACAGCTCTTTACCTACAGGCAGCAAGTTCGATGTCACAATTTAATCTATAGAATTGTAGAAAAAGGTTACTAAGCCAATGAGTAGGTTTTCCATTGGTTTTATAGTTGCAAAACATTTTTTTCTTTTGGATAATAGGATTCCTCTGCTAACTGCAAAAAGCCCTGATAATGTGTGTTGGCAAGACCATCATATATAAAAGTGAAATACTTAGAAGTATTGAAGCATTTCTTGACCCCCAGGTGTAAGGATGCCAGTAAAGGAGAAGCAAGTACTTGCTTTACAAGTGCCATCTCTAGTCAACAGCGTATTTTTTAATCCCCAATTTTATATACAAATTCCAAACTGTATATGTTTATATCAGTTGTTTTACTAAGTAGCATGGGTTGGATCCACTGTTTAAATAGGCATGGAGCAAAGAAATTATTCATACCTGCACAAGGGAATCTTCTGTTTCCTTCTATTTTAAGAAATACCTTCTGTTAGCCAACAGAGCAAAATTAACACAGATAAATTACATCCCATGTGAGTATGAGCGAAATACAAGTAGTAAATCTAAAATATTTTCTAAAACCCAAAATGAAGCCTTTTGGTTCATTTTTAAATAATTCTTGTCTAATGCAATCTAGGTCAGCTTGTAAACAGAAAATACCAAATGAAAAAATAAATGTTTCTGCATTTCTGATTAAAAATACTTTAATACCTTCAAAGCAACATATTCAAGATATTTGAAAAGTTTCCTTTTTTAGCAGTAATTCTTTAATTAATTCAACAGAAATTCATCTAGCTTTGATCCTCTGAAATTTATCTTTTTTAACAAATTAACCATTGATAATTAAAAAGGAAAAAGCCTTTCTGTGCTTTGGATAGAATATCTGCCTGTATCACATATAGCAAATTGACAGATTATATTATTTAAAAATATCTTTTTAAAAACCTCTTTGTCTTTCTTACAGTGTTGTAGTTTCTGTGTAATAATAGCAGTAGTTATCTTCTCCAATGTAGAATTTTTTTTTTGGGAGGGGGGAAAAAAAATGAAGCGGATTCACTCATGCATGTAAATGCCACTGTGACAGGCCAGCAGTAAATCTGGAAGGAAAGCAAATTCTTGATATGTTATTGTACTAATTAATTTTTCCTTGGGGGGATAATTATTACAATGTGGAGTGTTACAATAAGTTTATAGTAAGATTAAAGCTTTCAGAAATATGACAAAGAAAAAATTTTACAGAGTAGCTGCATATCAAACATAATTTATCTCAAAACTTTTGAGGAAATAATCCCTCTCTATGTATAGATTTTTTCATTTCCAATAGCATGCTGTAAATTGCACAGCTAACTCACTTTTCAGAGGTAGATTAGCTGAAGAATAATAACAAGAAAAGTAAATCAGTATCTGTAAAACAGATTTAGGCATTTAATTTTACTAATAGATGGGTGGTGTTTTAAAAACTACTCTGCTGATCATCAGCCATTCATTGACATTTCTACTACATTATTTGATTTCAGAAAACTGATTTAAATAAACACTCTATTGTCTGACAAAGAAATTTCTTTTCTACTATGTAGAAAGCTGTTATTAACAACTCTAGGTTAATAAGTGTCATGTTTTGGAAAAAAATATTCTTCAGACAAAATCATAGTTTCTTGCAAGATATTCCTACATAGATGTTTATTGTACACCTGGTGAAAAATTTCAGTCAGGTCTGAGAATGGTATTGATGTTACGAAACCAGAAATATTTGTGACTTTCCTAATACCTATCAATTCAATGCAATAAATATAGTTAAGAGCACCACTGTCTTCATGGTTACAAAATGGGCGCTGAAACCACTGAGAAATGTTAATATTCCTGGAAAGTAAGTTATAAATCACAAAAATAGGCTGCTGAAAAGTATGGAAGTGTCCAATCATTTAATATTTATACTATTCAGTCACCTTTAAATTCACAGTAAGACCTCATTAAGGTAACTGAGTACTTTTCTAATCCTAATTTCTAAACTTTCTAGTTTCTACGACTTTAAAAGATTGTGGAAACTCTTTTTCTTCTGTCTCATAGCCATCAGAAGTTCAGAAACCACCATCTGAAAAACACAGATGTACATGTTTAAATAACTCATGATATTTCAATTCTTCCCATGTACAAAGAACTGTAGAACCTTCTATTAACTTCTCTCTACAGAGTGTCAAAAAAAACCCCAAACCCTTATGCCTTAACACTGACAGAAATACAGATTTGTGTACTGCTTCTATCTATATGTATCCCATGTATGCTTTTTTATATAGGTAGCTATAGTCTTTTCCTCCATCTAGACACCTGCTTTTAATAGTGTCATTTTGTGTTGTGAAGTAATTGCTTGCTTTTTTTTTCCCCCTATTGAGTGTTAGTGACATGTTAAAAAAAAAAAAAAAAAAACTTCACAGGCACCATCTCAGTGACTTATTTTGCATGCAAATGTGGTGGTTTTGTTTAAAAATGATAACTATTTGTCACTATTCTGTACATTTTAACAAATTCAATAGTTGAAATACACTGAAATTCTCTTGTTCTGTTGCTTGACAGATCTTTCATTTGGCTTTTCTGTAGCAAGTTATTTGTCAAACTATTATTTCCTTTATACAACTAGTACCTCATTATATTTTTGGATGGATATGACCTAACACTCAAAATACAATTTATTGAAGAGAGAAATACAATGTTTTCTTCAAACTACTCATTCTAGATATTTCTATCATTGATGTATTTCATCTCACAAAAAGCCTTTGTTCAGGTAAAGTGGAACTGTGTTCTGTCATTATATTATTGAAATACAAATAGAATAAAAGATTTGTCTCCCTCCTAGTGGGGCTATGCAGTAAGTCTACAGCTGAACACAACCAGAATCCAAATTTTTGTTTCCTAGTTCACTACAGTTTTCATCCATTCATCTTTCCTATTCAGCGTGTGAGCATGATTTCTATGAAATGCTTGCATTAGTACTTGCCTTTCAAGAAAAACCTGTACAATACTGTGAGATACCATAGCTTAGAAAGTATCATAGTTCTACATTAAGATTGGTGGAGACTCATGAGTGTAGGGTAGAGAGAAATGGAAAGAATGACAGTAGAACATTAGTTGCTTTGAGGAAAGATACCAAGACGCAGTGATATGTGTCTTAACCCTATTATAACAGGGTTAAAGCGCATAATGAGCACTTTGCAGAGGAGAAAAAGCATACAAAACCCCCACAATAACAGAAATATAACAGCTTTTCTTCTCTTCTTCATACATAATGCTGCTACACCTGCCTGAAATATGAATGAGCCCATGAAGGCAAGGTCATTCTAATCAGGTTTACACCATCATTTAAAACTTTTTAAGGGTTATGTTTTCTTTTTATTAGGTGAATATTTGTCATCATTCGCTGAGCAGACTTTAGTTATTACCCTGTCATTACAGAAGCACACATGGAGACGTGTGGATTCTTAAGTACCTATATTTCAGTATTTGTATAGCCAAGTAAATTAGGTACTAATGCTGGAAAGCATCACTATGCAGACAAGCATATACCAGTGTTTGCTTAAATACCATCTTAAAAAGAAATAAATTTAAACACATGCTTTCTTTCTCTGGGCCATAAATATCAGTGAGAGAATCTCACATAAAACTCTTTTTTACTTCTTCACCTTACTGACCATATTTATGTCTACATGCATTGTGAGTTTTGGGGCTGGGTGATTTTTGGTTGTTTGATTCAGTGCGTTTTTTCTCAGTGATTGCTTCTGTCTTTCAGACTTGAATCTCCTACTAGATCTTTGGTGATGGAAGCACCCAGGGGAGTGCAAGTCAATGCAGCTGCAGGAGACTTAAAGGCTACCTGTAGGAAAGAACTGCACTTACAGTCCACAGAAGGGGAGGTAAGTTCAACCGGTAGAGAAATGTTCTACAGCTCTGCCCAGGACAACACAGTGTGAGGATAGTTTATTCAGCAGCAAGGTAAACATCATAAGAAGCATTCTGCAATTGCCTACGTTAATGTTGGTTTAGCTTGCTCAATTATTAATACTTATTTGCTTTTTGCAAATATTTTAATTACTAAGTTGCATTCACACTGAGAAAAACCTAGTTAAATGAATGTAGATAAGAATTATTTTTAATCTAAGAGTCAAGTAAAAGGTACACAGTCCATCAGCATATCTGTGGGAGAGAGACAGCTAGTGATAGTGGTAAAAAATTGCTTTGGATGAAACTGAAAAACTAAGAGAAGTTTGAATTAATTTGGATTAATACTTCATTAAACCATGATGAAGTTTAATGAATTTGCTTTACGTGTAGTTTATTTCCTTGACCTGTCACTGTCCCTGTAAGAAAGACGGAATACTTCCATGGTATGTTTACTGTCTGTTTCTTCAGTGTCTTGTTTCAGTGACCAGCTCGACATAAAAAGATTTTGGTATAGATTCTTCATGTGTAAACCTGTGTGAACTCATGAAAATGATTTTAAATTGGGTCACTGGTTTGGTTGATAATCCATGCGTTGCAGAAACACATGAAAGATTCCTGGTATGAGAGTCCTTTTATCTTCAACCCTTAAAATGATACAACACTAAAAAAAACACTTGTGAAAGGATATCAAAGATTTCTATTAGGTCCTTTGGAGAAATGGATAGGTTTTCAAATTGTTGTAATGTGGGACTTGCCAGGTTACAGCATTTTTTTGAAAACTGGTTGTTTAAAATAAGTATATAATTGGGAATGGAGCTCTTCAGAAATTTTCTGCCTTTTGTGTTTGTATTTTCTACCAAATGTTCCCAGATAATTTACCAACTATCTAAATAAGCAACAACAAACAAAACCAACATTCACATCTGTGACAGATAATCCCCTGCAGTGCACACTCTTTGCATTATAATGCAGACAGGAACATTTTTGGCCAATACACTGCATCAAAGGACAAAACTTTTCTATTGATGTAAGTATCTGTCCTGCATAATAAAATCACAATATATTCCTCATTCAGAGCCTCAAATATTTATATACCACATGCCCCATCTTATTTCTGAGTTTCTCCAAAAAAAAACAGCTCTTCCCACAATCTCTTATACTCTTAAACCTCTGGAAATATCAAGTCTTTCTTATTGTTTCCTAAAATTGCCAAGATAGCAGTAAAGACAGTTTTGATTGCAGAGGCTACAGCTTCCTGTAACCTTTCCTGCTTCCCCTCCATAAATCCCTACCTGGTTCAATCTGTTATGTTTCCTACATTTATTAACATATACTTTTCACCTAGAATGTATTTCTTTGTTCTTTCTCTTCATGATATTGCCAGAGGGAAAAAGTAATTCTCAAATTAAAATGAAAAAAAAAAAAAGACAAAACCCCCAAAAACCAAAATGCCAAAAAAAAAAAAATCCCAAAAATCAACATAAAAAGACTGTTATCTTTCCTCAATCCACCATGATTCCTGAAGCAATGGTTCTATCTATGATTTCTTGGTTTAGTATCATGCATCTCTGTGGTGCTTTGTACAAATTTATAATCTGTGGATTCATCAGGCATTTTTGTCTGTATCACTGTGAGTTTATTACATGACTTCTAATTTTTCTGAAGTATTTACTATATCTTATTGAAAAGGTAGTTTTGGAAATAATGTCCTATGACCTCAGTTAGACTTTGAGAATGGGGACCCAAGAAAGTTCCAATACCTATATCCTGTATTATTCAGAACTGGAATTCAATTCAGTATTAAATGCTTTGTAGGAAAAGAATGCCGGTGTAAAGCAGACTTCGTGAAACTTCATATTAAAAATCATTATATTCCTGCATGTGGTAAGACTTTGCACATCTGTGATTTCTCACATAGATGTTTGAATTATCACAAAACAAGATACCATCTTTCCCAAGGAGCTGCTCTCTAAACATATAAGTGGCAAAGTTCAAAGTATGTAATTATCTCTTGAACACTTGAAATTCCAGTAAGATCTGTAAAGAACTGCCCTAAATCCACAGAGAAATTCCATCCTGAGGTCTGACCAATGCCTTTATAGTGTGCTATTTTATCTCTTACACTGGAGAGGGTCAGAGGAGAAGGCAGAAACACTTTGGAAGGCATTCGATAAGCTTCTACAGCATCACTGGTTGTGCAAAATTACCGTGGTTACATTAGGGAATTGCTGGGCTAATTACAGCCTAGTGTGAGAACCAGTGCAAACATCTGATGGATAAAATGCCTACATAGCAAAATATTGATTGGTCTCCTTGCTTAGAGCCCAATGGATATACCACAGACTGGTAGACGGTATGGAAAAAAGCATAAAGGGTTTTTAAGAAAACACATTCTGAACCAAAACAAAGTATATATGTCAAAAACAATCTTCATTTTAGCCTATAAATGTATGCTTTATCAGTGAGGTTTCTTTAATAAATTAAGGAATGTTGTCTTTGTGAATTGGACCTGTGAAGTATTTTTTGAACTAGAAAAAATACAAGTTTTTTGTATTATACTCACTAAAAAAGGTAACTAAATTTAACTTTTTAAAGTTTGTGAACTGATTTTAAAAATCATCAAGGATACATGAATTAGTATTTTCCTTCTATAGCATAATTATCACCCTATTATGCCAGAAAACAGCTATGTGGAATCTGGAATGTGCCAGTTATGGCCATATAGCAGAACAATATGAATTTGCTGTGGATTATTCTATGAAACATATATTTTCCCTTATTTATGAATAACTTCAAAATATTTTCTAAAGATCATAAATGTGTTTATGAAATACATTTTCTCAAGCCTTATTTCTCATGCAGCATAATCTCTAGCCTCCCACATCCTAAACTGAAAGCTTCTGCAAGCATTCAGAATTCTGCTGTTGGATACATTTTCTTTTTTATTTACTGCAGTATTATAATAATCTTTTTAGCCCTATTACGCATTATAATGTGTGATCCTAGACTGAATACTGGGGGCTGTAATTTAGACTCAGATTCTGCTGCCCTTTGTAAAGCTCTTGAGCAGAACCCTGGTGAGTCAAGGCATCAGCAGAATCCTTTGATTCAATTATAGCTTGGCATTTAATTGTGAACTATATTATTCTATAAATAAACCATAACCAATGGTTTAAAGCAGCAATCATTTACAAGGAAAATGAAATGTGAAGCTCCAGGCTGTAGCTGGATCTGTTGGTTCACATAAGAAGAAAAAGAACATTTCTTGTCTGGAAATTCAGCACAATGGCTGTTGGTTGACTACTGCATCTCTCACGTGTAAACACAATGCAGAAATACAGATAAATTTTGAATTCTGTAGTTACTAGGCATAAAAATTTGTTAGAATTGAACCTGAAAGACATTGTCATATATTGATAACAAACTGAAAGGGTTATTTGATGTTGTCCACTCGTTGGCGTAATAACTAATTGTAATGGGTTTGAGAATCCTTCACCCTTTGAAAGAGAAGGCTGCTAACTAACCTCAGCTCTTATGAGGTTTGTGCAGCTGCTGTGTATTTTTGCAAGCGGCTTCTATGTAAGCTGGGCTCTGCACTTTCATTGCATCCCATTGACTATCAAAGACAAGTAAATAAAAGGAGAAAGATGCACCGAGGCTTCTCATTTTTACAAACATATTCATATTAGTCACTCTGCCTGTGACCTGTTTCCTATTTACTTCTTTATGTCCTTGTATTTCCTTCTGAAATTGCACTCCTTCATAGCATCATTTGTAGACTGTATTTGGTTGTTTCTGGCATAATGAGGCTGATCCCTTGGTGAGGCTTATAGCTGTCACATTAAAAATGAGCAGTACTCTTTAACAGTCAAAGTTTACTCAAAATCAGTGTAGCAGACAAGAGGCCAGGTTTATATTTATCATTTTAGCTCAACGCAGTTTATGTAGCATACACCCAAGATTAGTTTGTAGAGACTAACAAATGCATATAGTACTCACATTTGGTATATAATCCTATCCAGTTCTCTCTCTAAGTCCAGGAGCTGTATTTAACACAGAGAAGAGAATAATACTTAGTAAAGCTAGAATAATCTTCAAATGTAAGAACAACCAACTGTACCATTTTAATGCTTTGGTTTTGGTGAAGTTTTTGTGGATGGTTTTTCTGTTCTGAAACAGAAAAAAAAAAAAGAGGAATTTTTTTATTAATCTAACTACACTGAAATGGAATTACGTTGTTCTGCAAGCTGCTTGCTATGACTGTGGAAGAAGAGCTGATCAAAGACAGCAGTATTTGGTAGATTAGTTCAATTCAGCTGAGTTGTGTTTCTCTGAGATTAAGTGTTTGCAAAAATATTTAAATGTATGATATGGATGAAGTGAGTTCGATACAAAATAAGCAATGGTAGGCTGTAGAGCTCATAGATCCACTCTTATTCACTCCGAATTGTCTAACAATTGTGCGCTGCATTTTGTTTTTAAAGCCCTTTTTCATGGTATTAACCAGCTGACTCATCAGTGTTCTCTGGGAGGACAGAGATTAATGGAAATGAAGGGAAATTTTTCTGTATTTTTTTAATTATTGGTTTTAAGAATTCTATTAAGATGTTTTGACAGATATTTAAAACTATTAAAATGTCATGTTAGTTTTAAACAAAACCTTTCATTTTCATCTTAAAACAGTTTTTAATGTGTTAGTTTATAGTAAAAAACACTTTTACAAAGAAGTCTATCACCAAAATACAGTGTTCCTAAACTACAAAAGCCAAGTGTTATAACTGGCATCACCCATTTTTGTACTATTTGTTCATCGGCAAATTTTGAAGACCAGCACCATAAGCCATTTTATTAGAAAGAGAAAAACAAGTGAAAACAAATAATTTATTATTTAAATAAAGCATTTTTCCATTAATATCACATTTTAATCTAGTTCTGATTTAAATGGTAATTAAGTAATAAGTTTTTGTACTTG